CAGCCTTCATGAGCTCCAACAGGTTCTTCTTCCATCCTAGCCCTTGTGAGAGAAGAAAAGGCACCTGAGAGGAAGGGACTGGGCATCCCCAACTCTTAAAGAACAAAATCTGGTTTTTGTTAAAGCTGTGTTTTCTCTTGGACTCCTGGTCTTGATGGAAATTACTTTTAGCCATTTTATATGGTATATCATTTAAATTTGGACAAACATTAAATTAGGCATTAATTTCCTATGTGTAAAGATTTTATACAGCTATAAAACTAAACTAAATTTACAGATTACTATATAAATTTACTATAAAAACCACTAAAGTTTAAATTAACAACATTAATTTAATGTTCTATGTGATGTTTTGCTGAAACCAAAGCTCTGATGGTAGATTTAATCATTGAAAAAATATGTTTTCATATTTGATATTTTACTTATTAAGTTGATTCCTTGGACTTTGAGCCTGATAGGATTATCATTTTAATAATTTTAATTTCTTTGGTTATTTTTCTTTTTACATACTGAATTCATTTTAAATCACTGATCCATCAGTTTGATAAGAGGAATCAATTGGATAGTGCTACTCAAAATACAATATTGAAAAATTTAAAAATGTGCTTTAGTGAAAAATTCTTTACTATTATTTTCTACATTTCTTGAGAATGAATTGTTGCAAGTTCTTATGAATAAACATGGGAGTCTCACTATTAATTTAAAACAGAGATATTACAATAGGACTGTTATGGTAAAGGTTCTTTGGAATTTGGCTTGCCCATATTAGTATGTGTCAGATGATGATTAAATTTTCCCACCAATTCCCTCCGTTCCACCTGCCATGAAACTTTCATTCCTACAATGTGCTGTGAAGTCATTTGGCAAGAACCTATCATTATATATTAAGCTGGGCTTTGCTTTTTTCTCATTAGACGCTAACTATTAAAGGAACACATCAATCTACCACACTGTCATTTTCATGATGTCAAATCAAAAGCTCAATTTATTAAATAACTTAAGAATCTATGTCTTATTCTGTGAAAATGGCTCTCAATTGATAATTATCACCGCAAAAGAGAAATTTTGTCTTTGGAGTGTAAAGAATTCCACAAGAATATCATGATAGATGTAGCAGAATAATTTTGTGTTTAGATTTTTTCAATTTTGTAAAACTTTGGCATAGTACATGAATATGTTCTTTGAATGAATGCTTTGAGGGACCAGGATGAAGAGAATTGAAATGGAAGGAAGTTTCACTGTGAAATGGACGTGTCTACTACCCTGACCATATGTAGAATTGATTTTTCGAAAGAAAAACATGGAAGTCTTTGTTACAGAAGGTAGTGATTCCCAAAGCATTGTAAAATTGAGGTAACATTGCAAATTATTTAGGTTAGCACAAGAAACTTCAATGGCTGAGGCCTACTAAATTTGTCAATTGATACTTTATACTTAGCTTGTTTTATTGCTAATTTTAGCTGTTTCCTAAGCTTCTCATAAACACCTTAATTCTGGTAGTAAATTTTTACTCTATGGCATTCATTTGTCTTAAGAACAAACTGTGTGTATGTGTCTGTGTGTTTTAAACAGTAATTTCATTGAAGGAGAAATCAGAAGTGTCAGAAAACGCGAAGGCTAGTGCTACTTAGTAACTCTGAGATCTTTGAAAAGTCGGGGTCTCTCAGCCTCAATTTCCTTATCTGTAAAGTGGGACTAACACTACTTGATCTACCTCATCAGGGGGTTAGTTGTAAGGAAAGAGTGTAAGTTTATTGCACTTTGAAAGAGTGAAACATGTATGTATACATATGTTGTTGTTATACTAAATAGACTCCAAATGCTAATCAAATGGGTTTAAAATTTTATGTATTTGCAATCATTAAGATTTTCCAGTTCTTTCACTTCTGTTGAATTTGTCCACCCATTATTCCATCCTTTAGTTGCATCATTTTAAAAGTTATTATAGACCAGATCTCGGCAAACTGTAGGCTGCCCTGCCTGCCACTTGTGTTTGTAAATAAAGTTTTATTGGAACAAAGCCATGCTCATCGATTCACTATTGTCTATGGCTGTTTTTTCACTACAATTGCAGTTGAATAGTTGTGACAGAGACTGTATGGACTCTAAAACCTAAAATACTTACTATCTGGCTCTGCACAGAACAATGTTGGTACCCCCTGTTACATATCACTAAAGTCCAGGGCCAATTATAATCCTGTCCTTTCTGGAAACTAAGTGCTTGATAGATGATGTCATTTTAAGATCCATACGCTACTGTAAGGAACTAAGCGGCTCTGAGTGTCCCCTGTTAGTAGGCAGCAGCCTTACCCCTCCTCTTCTGATCCATGAGTTCAAAGACGTGGCTGTCTCGAGATCCTGTTTCTTTTCTTGCTCCTTTCACGGCTTGATTCCTTAAAAGAATATTCTCAGTGACTTGAATGATGTTGCTGAAAATTTCAGTTAGCAATCTAGGCACATTTTAAACCCAGTTCATTACCAGGGTAGAACAGTGAATGCAGGCTAATGTCTTACACATTTTTAAGCTCAGATGGAAGGTTGAATAATGTAAATTATCAGCCCAGCAAATAGATTATGTGGAAATGCACTTATCTGTTTTTTTCCATTTCCAGATTTTTATATGTTTAAGATTTTAAACTTGATATGCTATATTCATGTGAATTGGGAAGTATCTAATGGGAAAGATGGGGGATTTGGCATTCTCTGCAGGTTTACTTTTCACTAATTTAGAGAAGTCAGAGGTGTCTCATTTAAAATAGAGAATTTTAGAGCTGAAGCAGACCCAGAGATCAGCATTTCCCAATCTCTTTTGACCCATGGATCATTTTCATAGTAATTTATAATCTTGTCAACCCTCTTAGGAATTTTTAAAATTAGTTCATAATTTTTGTGTGGCTTATTATGAAGAGATAATTTTAAGTGAAAACTATTTTATCTTAGATTAGTACATTATTAAGGATTACATTATAAATTTTGTTTTAACACAGTTATTAATGATATATGTAAACAAATTTTGCCTTTTTCATTTAATGAGTGAGTGGTAAATATTTTTTAAATTCACAAAGAAGAAATTATGAAAGGAAAAAGCGAATTGTCAAAAAAATTGAAAATGATATTGTTTTCATATGTAGTTTTGGAATTGAAATGTAGATTAGTATAAAAGAGGCAAAAATTGCTTTCATGATCTGAAATTTGAATTCTTAGATTTTATGCTATAAAATTTAATGTAATTTTTATAATTTTTGTGTTAGTGCTTTAAATGATAAGATCAGGGAGATTTGGAGTTCCCTTCTCCAAAGAAGTCAAGTTGACTGAAAAGTCCCAGTGGAGAGCCAAATTGGATATAATTGTGTGCGTGTGTGTATATTTCATTTTAACATTTTTCAAGTACTAGACATATTTATATGCTATATAAGAATTTTGGTCAGATAAACATATTTTTTGAACCCCTTGAGGCAATTTGGCACAATTACTACTATTTTAATCTCCTCCGGAATTTTCATTTCAATATCCCTCCCCCCCAATTTTTTGGCTTTTGGCGTTAACTAAGGTCCATGATGCTTATGCATTAAGCTCCACATGACCATGAACAAGATAACTTAAGACTGTGTGATGGGCAGGGACATTGGTAGTTGGCTCTGAGTTCTGGGTCCAGAGCACACTCATTGCCACTAACCTCAGGCTTACTCCACATACACTTGGAGGCTCTTGAACCCTCCAATTTAAAAGGAAAGGGTATTTCAATTATTATTTCATTTATTTATTTTAAAAAGGAATGGAAACAGATAATATTGACAAGAAGCCTGTGGTTTTCTCATTTTACATTCAAAGAAACTGGAACCAAGAGAAGTAAAATGATATGTGCAAGTTCACACAGTAGTCTAATGGCTAAGCCAGGGCTGGAACAGGACTCCTAACTCTCAGTGCGTCATTCTCATGTTTTGACCGAACCGTCTAGCTAGTATCTTGCCACCTGAATGCGTGTGATGAAATAATGGTACTGTGCCCTGCACAAAGCAAGTGAAGTTGATCTAGTTGTGGTTTTCAACTGGTGGCTCACCAATTAGCACACCCAAAAACATGTATTGTGTTCTAAAGCTGTTATTGAGCAGAAGGAAGCCTGTCCAATTATTACTTGGATGTCTCTTTTGAAGATGCTGATCCTTAATGTGCCTTCCTTTATGATATACCAATATTCTAATGGTGATTATTTGTGTGTAAGTCCAATCACAGCAAATACCTATTCCATGGCAATTGCTTTGCAACAAAGAGTATTGAACCTGAACTAATGAACCATTTATTGGAAGTGAATCATTGACTGAATGAGTTTACAAAGTGACAAAAAATTTGGAGGGTACTCTAGTGCAGTAGATTTTCAGCAAAAACAAATTTTCCCCAAACCAATATGGAACAATTTGTTTAAATCATTGCTACAAATTCAGACTGAACATTAAGTGGAGTTTATTTTAGCATGTCATCTCTATTGGTTAGTCAAGTAGAATTCCATTCAAGATATGTGTTCATTTGTAAAGTTGCTTTGTTCATGATTATTTTTCCTACAGATTGTAATGAAAGGATTCCTTGAGTATCTTCAGTTGATTGTTGACTGTTCGCGCATTCAGCTAATATTTATTAATTTGTCGTCCTTCCCTTCCATTGTTAAATTTATCAGATTACGTTATCACCCAACTCAAAGCTATGCTGTCATCTTGCTGGAGATTGTTTTAAATTAGTATTACTACCAATAGGAGTGGAAGGTTTCCTTTTTGTAAGGTAGTGTGTTTAGTGGCTACTTACAGTGAAGATGAAATGCTAGCATATGAGAGGATGCAAAAGATCACAGCATTTAGGAATTTACTCTGGTCAAAGTGCGCGTCTTTATGAAATAGGAATATACCTGGGTTTCCATATTTAGATGCTCATATTCTTCAAGCAACACTTTAGAATTATAAGGAAAACAAGGCCTTCACTAACTAACCATCAATTACTCTGTTTTCCAGTGTTTCTTTCTTCCACTCGTCATTGCCGGCTGCATTTATTCTTGATGGAGTCATGCTGCACCTGTGTACATTCCCAAAGAGGTACCTTTCAGGTATATTTGAAGACATAGTCTGACCACTATTTAATAAAAACTGTATTTATCAGCACCAAAATTAAAAACAACCAAGGTTGCAATGAGTAAAATCGTCCCTATGCCCATTTGTCTGTTGTTTAATTCTCTCTAACCAATTGTTGTAATGATCATTATTTGGAAAAATAAATTTTTTTACCTCTGCATTGTGATATCTTGGAAGAAAGCCATTTGTTATAAGACTTTTGCCTAAAATCCTAATTAAACACTTATGCTCTTGGGTTGTTCATGAGCCAACATCTCTGCATCCCGTTTGGGGGTCGCTGGACTAGATGGGAGATGGTATCTCCTGACTTCCACATCCCCTTAAAACTTGCTAATACCAAGCTCTTCAAGCAAACTAAATTATCATGGGAACATTGATAATTGATCCTTAAAAAATATTACGTAAAAACTCTAAAAGTTTTTATGCTCCTTGCCATGATTAAGAGCCATGAAGTTCTCAGTGGGAAATTCGGTTACAGAGTAAAGTCTTATTTATGAAAACTTTGTAGGGAACTCCCACCATGAATCTCAGTGCCATGCTGAACTTACTACACAAATGAGGCACCTTTGAATAATATCTCCTTTTCTTTGAGCCCCAAAGAGAGTGGGGAAGGAGGGGAATATAAAAATACAAACCAGGCTTCTTTTCTTGCCTCTTTACTCTCTCAGTGGGAATCACCATTGGCAGATGATTCACGTGGCTCTGTTGTAAAATCGTAGATTTTTAATATCTGGACTACTGAGTGCAAACATAACATTTAAATAAAAATAATGCAGAGTTATTTATCTTCACCAAATCTTCTCTGTCCCATAGAGGATGCGAGCTGTCTCTTTAATAATGCAAAGGAGTAGTAAATTTCAAGCTGAGGATGGGCAATAACAAGGAGAGTGATCTCCACGCTGCCCTAATGTCAGTGGAGTGCCTTAGGAGAACACCTTATTAGTTCTAACAGGCTGGTTAGTGCCGGGTCACCTCTCTGCCTCCATCTTCCCCGGCAGGGTCACTCATCTCTGGACTATATTTGGGAGGAAAGAAGTGAGGGGGAGGGGAAGGAATATATTTAGAGCTTCTCTCATCTCCCCAGCATTGAGAGCTGTTTATTTTTATTTGTTGTCCAATTGTGTTAGTCTCCTCTTCCTCTCTCCCTCTCTCTTTCCTGAGCTGCCCATTCTTCTCTTCTGGTAGTACGTCTGCACGCATTCTCTGTGTTGAGTTAAAGCAGAAACCCCATCAGTGGTTTTTCTCATTATTGTTTGATTTTTAGAAATCATCTGAAATAAATGTAGTTTATAAATCTGTATTTAAATGAGTATTTACTGTGCTGAAAAACTGGAAGAAGGGTCCAGCATAAGTCGGCTTCCAATTAACATGACAAGCTGAAAACAAATTGGAGGGAATATAGATAGACATTTGTATACCTTTTACTGTTTTAAAAAATTGAGATCAATATATTTTGTAAATCAATCACATTTTAGAATTGCGCTTAATATGTTTTCACAAAAGAAAAAGATTAACTATCCTCTTTTTAAAAATGTATTTTTGTGTTGTCTTTGGTTTTTTTTTCATCATAGCTACCGACATCAACCCGTTCTCCTCCCTAGCCCATCCCCCATCCCCCATCCAAAAATGAATGCAAAGAAATACTATTAGGCTGTCTGGTTATGTATTTTTTATGAGGCCATACAAGACGCTGCCTGACCCCTTGCAGCTCATGTTATAAGCACACTGAAGATGCTTTTCATTTGGGTTTTGCTTTTCAGCCTGGATGACCTCTATTAAATAAAAAAAAGGGAGTGGGGATGGGAGGGAAGCCCTAATATGTGACCCCAGGGACTAGTCGCTTCAAGGATTACATTTAATTCATATGATAATATTGAAATAGAACGTTCCTGGGTCTAATATTTTGGTTACTTTCTCTATTTCAGAGACTCATTGATGAGTCTTGTCATAGATGTTTTTCATCAATTTTGGGCAGAGAGCTGTAACTTGTACATTAGGGTCAGATTCTTAAAATTACCTTTTTTCCCCCCTTTTCAAATTCAGGCCATGAATATAAAACATCTTTCTTCTCATAGTTTCTCTGAGAGACGCAGAGAAATTAATTTTTCTTATGTGTGTCTGCCAAGAGTTCTGTTTCAAATAAAGAAAATTTTTATTTTGGCATTTCCTTAACCATCCCCAACAACTGATCTTCAAGTTCTTTATTAGTATGAATGCTAACATCTTTTAAACTCCTCTCTTCCTCCCTCCCTCCCTCCCTTCCTTCTTCCGTCCCCTACAAAGTCAGCTGTATGTATATAATGGTATTCTCTCATATATGGTATATATCATGATCTACCCAATGACCGGCATTTGGGTCCTTGTGCCTGGTACATATATATGCTGTAATACATATTTTTACATTGCTTTTTATAATTATCCTACTTTTTATAATGCCCCTATTAGTTATTGAAAGCTCAGTTGCATACATTTTAGGGACTTATAACTTCACCTTACATTTTTTTTTCCTTTTATAGTGAAACATTGTTCATACTATTTAAGTTTAGCATTAATGTTCAAAACCAATTTGCAAAAGCATCCCTCTGGCCACTTTTTAGAATTCTATTTCTATTAAAGTTTCTCACAGTATCAGGTGCCTGTTTGTCTTTGCTGGTTAAAATGAACAGGTTGAGAAATAGAACTGAACTACACGCCATTCGCTGTGTTTTGAAAATGTTTTCATTCCTTTCACTTAACAGACTAGCACCTAATTTCCTTGCATCAGCTGCTGTTCATCAGTGCTGCAGTGGCTCACTTGTCTTCGAAGGCAGCTTCCTTGGAGGGACAGCAACATTTCACTGGAGCTAATAAAGTCAATAAGGATAATATTATACAGTAGGCCACTAGAAAACCAGGTGCATTTTGCACAAATCATTCTGTTTTTAATTCCTACCAATTTTACACTTCATGAAGAATGTTTAAAGAGCCCTATTATTATTACTTACATTAGCTTGCGTATATATTTAATTGCCATTTTTCTTTTTCTTTCTTTCCCTTTTTTAGTTGTTGCAAGAAAAAGAAAGCAAAGAAGAAAAAAATTGTGGACATGTTCACACATTTTCATTACCACAAAAGTACTGATGAAAACTGATCAAAGCTGGGAAACGCATCGCAGTAGCTCGAAACCCCATCTCAAGCCAGTCCCTTATTACCCAGGTATTGCCACAAATGTGATTCAGCAAATAAAGCCCCTAGCTGCCTTGCCCCCTCTGCAATCAGAGAGCAGCAAAGTGGATCCGCAATGGGGTTTTCACAATGACTCATAATTTTCCTACATTTGTTTGCATCACAATCTTAACATTTTTGACATCTGGGTTACTGGTGAAAATGTACATGTGTCTCTGTGTATACATATAGTACATGTATTTTTGTCTTGGTTAGTCATTGTATGTGAGAGGGATGTTTTAAAAACATAGACTCCAGGTTCTCCTTTGTAAAGCATTAAGCTGTGACCCTCCCCTCCTCTCTTCCCTCCCCCTGTAGCCCTGGACTTCATGATGCCTTCTTGACTGCTAGCTGAACATGGAGTTGTCTTTTTATTTTTTTTTATAAACCCAGTCACAACACAGAAAGAGGAGGAGGAGGAAGAGAGAGAGAGAGAGAGAAAGAGAGAGAGAGAGAGTGAGAGAGAGAAGTAAAAACCCTGAAGGATGGTTCTCAAAAATTCTAAAGGAACCACAGGGAATTCCTTTTAAGAGCAACAGAAAGCAAGCCTAGCTGAGGTAAGGCAGATGTGGACAGCCTTTCTTTTCTTCTCTTCTCTTTCCTTCCCTCTCTCTGTCTCTTTCTGTGTATGTCTCTCTCCGTTCCCCCTCCCTGCTCATATCCTCTTTCTCTCTCTCTCTCTCTTTCCCTTTACATTCATATGTTCTCTCTCTCTCCTTCTCAAGAGCTGTTTCTTTATGGATCTGGGAGGGTAGGTGGGTGGGGGAGCAACCTAACTTCTTTCCTGCTTAAGCAATCTGAGAATGGAACTCATGTGAATATGCAAATAGGACTGCCTGGGCCGCTGCTGACACGTGTATGTGTTGTATCTTTCTCCCCACCTTCCTGTCTTAGCGTCTGATCTTCAACAGATTGCTGTTGTTTCTTGTGATCACCAGCACAGCGTGCTGGAAAGAGAGATGGGGGGAGAGGTGGGGATTGGAGGGAGTGTTGTGGGGCTGGAAGGCAGGAAATCAGACATGATTGCTGTGACTTTTTTATATTAATGTGTGGCTTTTTTCTAGCTCATTTGCATGTCAAAGTGGCGGAGGTGTGAGGGCAGAGATTAGTATGGAGATGACATAATGATGCAATGAATTAAATGTGATCACTTCTCGGGGCGGGGGTGTGGTGGGGGGGGGCAGCAGCGAGGTGGGGAGGGGTGGGAGCCAGCAAGACAGACGGAGTGAGAGAGCAAGAGGGGAGAGCGCTTCTGATCTTCACCACACACTTGATTGATGTCACCAGCGAGCAGAATGCATCTTTTTATTGTGATGATGGTGATGGTGGTGGTGATTGCCATGATTACACTTATCGTTAGTGTGAAATTTGAATTTTAAGTGGTCAGTGCTGGAGCTCCAGCGCACGTGATTGTTTGGTCCATCAGTGCAAACCCTTGGCTGTCAAAATTTAACGGCGCTCCACGTTTGCTTTTATTTAAAAAGGAAGATACAACATACAGGAAAGAGATTACTAATTTGTGATGTTACACAGTGGGCTGGGATACCAAGGTTTTTCATGGAGCTTCAGTTTTCTTGTGCGTATGAAAAAGAAAAAAAGAGGGGAGCGAGATTAAAAACATTTTTATTATTACAAAAAAAAAAAAAAATCTTCCACCGGATCGGTGGGGTGGCAAGGGTTTCAACCGTTGACAATAAAGAAAACGCAATTTCATCTTTGGCATTCGGTGTTATCTCCGTTTAATAACAAAACCAAACCAGACTGATTACTGAACAAAGCGAATTCTTAGGCGGCTCGTTGCAGGTCTGAACGCAGGAGTAAAAGCTGAACATTGTCCCCCTCTTCCTGTGGTTATTTTGAATGCAACACCTGCAAATATACACGGAGTTGGTGTAAAAGGATTGGTGGGGGAGGAAAGGGGTATGTGTGTGTGTGTGTGTTTTTTTTTTTAAACTTTCCTATAATTAAAAGAAGAAAAAGAATATAAACACAAACTACAAAGGTTTTTAGACTTCATTGATTTATTTGTTTTGGAAGTCAAATTCGTTCTGTCTGCCAGTAAGTTTTCTTCTGGTGAGTCCTCGGCTACTGCTGGTTCAGGAGGACAGACTTCCTACCATATAGACAAATCAGTATAGAAATTTAGGACTAATTGTTATGTGTGCAATAACCCTGATGATATAAATGAGCACTTAGGAATCCACAGAACATCACTAACATTAATTTATTGAAAAAGAAAATCCAAAGCAACTCCATTAGTTTTTCCCTGTTATTGTTAAGGACTTTAAATGGATTTCCTAATTGGATAATTTTATTCACAAGAATAATACACAAATGGAAAACAAGCCCTAACTCTGGAGGTGGGGGTGGGGGGTTGGAAGGAGGAAGAGTCAGTGTAAGAGCGAACCACTGTCAACTTCTAGAAAACCTGCTGAGATAGTGCACTGAAGAGAAAGGCTAAGACTCAGAGAATAACACCCACGTGTGGGAAATAGCTGGCCAACTGGGGTGGGGGCAGAAGCAGGCTTTAAGCATGTTGAAGCAACACAGTGGATAAATCCGCTTGCCTCTTTTTTATGATATTTAAAATAATGTTCATCGTTATTGCCCCTCATTGATCATAGGCACTTCAAGTTCCTTCTGTCTTAGGTTTTCCTAAGTCACATCTCCACCTTCTTTCACTCACTCTCATCCACATCTTTGGCATTTTCTGTCCACCAAGCTCATCTTCTTGGAGTGGCACTTGGCCTTGTGTCATTTCTCTTCTCTTTCTCAGATGAAGGTAGCTGTGCTTACCATAAGCTGGCTCTCCCTGAAGGGTGTGCACGGCTACTATTAATAGAAAAGCGTCTTGTGTCCTATTCTTACACCCTTTGCCTGCCAAATACATGGAATGAATTGAGACAGCCAGAGAAAAGTTCTCGAGCGCTGGTCTGGAGTGACTTTCCTCCCACACATCAACACCTGTATCCTTATTTTCCGTCTGTCTCCAGGTAGTACCGCGGCCTCCTCTACCTCCTGCTTTCCCCTTGCCTTAGTCTTCTAGGCCAATAAAGAAGAAAGGCAGGGATGAGGATTGTTCCTATTGATCTGCCCAAGGGGATCATTAGGCATCTGTATCAATCTACAAATCAGTGGGCCTGTGTTACTAGCTTGGGCAGTCATTGCCAATTTGTTCCTATTAGATGGCGGAGCCTGGAGGTGTTTGATGAGCAGATCGGGTCTTTATCTCAGCACTAGAAAGTATGCAGGCTTGCTGCCAGACGGCAGAGGGATACGGGCTTGTTTTTTTTTTAGTAGGGGGGACGGGGATCCTTATGGGTATTTTTTCAGCCTGAAATCTGTCTGCACCTTAACTAGACCTACGTCCTACCCTGCCCTCACCGAGCTGTCTCTAGTTAAAAGCAGCCCCCACTTTGCCTCCTCCAGCCCTGACATCTTCTCGGAAAGTTGCCCACAGAAATATCTTCTTGAGTATTCTCTTGTAATCCTTTTCCAACCGACATCTGAACAATTGAAATGTAAACACTTTTTTTTTCTTCCTCCAGTTCCTTTGCTACTAGGAGCAGTGTATTTACTGTTGAGGAGGTGACATTTTTAGCTGATATTTTCTCTGTAGTTCAATTAGAGAAAGTAAAAGTTAAAGCTCCAGGTAATTTTGTTTGGAGAATCCTATTCACCTTTTCTCTCTGAATTGAAATCTAGAAAGAAATGTGTTCTCATGGCTATCTTTTTTAATTTTTAAAAAATCTTTAAAAATCATCTTTTTCTCTAGTCTTGAGCTTTGAAAGAGAAGCAACTATGGTGAAAGCCAAGTTCTTTCGTATGCATGTAGATTTGAAAAATAAAAATTATGTTTCCATGGGGGAAGGGGAGGGGATAAGGATAATGAATGAATAAGCACAATTTATGCCGTTGCTGCTGCTAGCGTGACATTTCCTCTTCATTATTTTGCGAAAACCTCAATCTTAAACCTGGTTTTACTCATTCCTGACGTGAGCATTATTCAGTATAAATATCTGTCCACTGCCAGACCTCGGCGATGCTCTCAGTGACATTTCAGCTTTATGGCTTTTGGTGGGGGAGGAAGCTGGGAGGAGAGGTGGGCTGACGCAGATGGGGAGGGAGGGGACCAGGCAGCGTCCACTTCCTGGGAGCTCTGTTTTTATCCTGCCCTTGAGTTTGTTACTTGAGAATAATAAACTGTTATTCCGAGCTGGGGCCCAGGAGGTGGGTAAAGGAGCTCAACCTGAGTTGTATAGTTAGCACTTCTGTCTTCTCTTGAAATTTGCTCATCACTCCAAAGGGGCAAAAGAGGTTTTTTTTTAAAAAATATAACCTTTCATATTTTGAGTGTTGAAAATAAGATGGAACTCTGTTTACACTGCGCACCAATTTCCAAGTGGTTTTGGCCTGTTTTTACTTATCTAACAGACTTCAGGAAGCTCTTAAAAAACAAAACCCTGCATTTTTCTTTAGAAGACTTTAAACATAGTGATTATTACCATTTATTAGTTTGTATTTACATTTTCTCACCTGTGTATTTTTTCCCCCTTCTTGGCCCTATTCTAATTCATCCACTCTAAAAAAGCACTCATTTCATTCCTTTTGACAAGAGCCTGCTTTTTTTGGTTGTTGAGTAGCTCACTGAACTTCACAGAAATACATCTGTGGGGTATATGATTGTTGGAAGTTAAACCAGCTTAATTGATCATAAACCAGACATCCAGTCAGCTGTCATCGTTACAGTGTATGTATAGAAATCGATTTGGAGGAGACTCAGAGGAATGTTTTAAGAGTTTGTTTTGCAAATATTTATAAACCTTTTCCTCTGGAGCAGAGTCTATTTTAGAATGCTCATCAAACTATTAAGAACAGAGCTTATTTTGAGGAAGATGCTGCCAAAATCTGGTGTTTGTTTTATCTTGAGGGTTGGGAGTTCAAATTTGTTTTGCCACTGACATACTGTCAAAGCTAGAGATATCTGTGAA